TCCTGTCTGGCGAAGCTGATTTCGTTCTCTGACAAGACCCGCTTGGCGGATGAAGGCAGGGTGTCGGTGTGCTCTACCTGGCCTTCAGGAAAGCCTTTTACACCATCCCCCACAGCATCCTGGTGGAGAAGCGGGCTGCCGTGGTTCGGATGGGTGTACACTCTGCTGGTGAAACACTGGCTGGATGGCCAGGCCCAAAGAGTTGTTTGTGGTCAGTGGAGTTAAATGCCGTTGGCAGCCGGTTGTGAGTGCTGTCCCCCAGGGCTCGGGACTTGGGCTGCTTCTATTCAACATGCTGATTAACGCTCTTGATGAGGAAATTGAGTGCACTCTCAGTATGTTTGCAGGCGACACCAAGTTGGGAGGGAGCGTAGGTGTGCCAGAGGGGAGCAAGGCACTAAAGATGGACCTGGGTAGACTGGATGGATGGGCCAAGGTTAACTGTGTGAGTTTCAATAGGGCCGAGTGTCGGGTCCTGCGTTTTGGAGACAGCAACCCCAGGCAACTCTACAGGCTTGGGGAGGAGTGGCTGGAAAGCTGCGTGACGGAAAGGGCCCTTGGTGCACTGATGGACAGTCGGCTGAATGTGAGGCAGCAGTGTGCCCGGGTGGCCAAGAAGGCCAATGGCATCCTGGTTTGGATCAGGAGTGGTGTGGTGAGCAGGACCAGGGAAGTGATTTTGGCCCTGTTCTCAGCGCTGGTGAGGCCTCACCTCGCCTTCTGTGTTCAGTTTTGGGCACCTCGGTACAGAAAGGACATGGAGGTGCCGGAGCAGGTCCAAAGAAGGGCAAGAATGCTTGTGAAGGGCTTGGAGAATGTGCCCTATGAGGAGAGAGTGAAGGAAGGGGGGCTGTTTAGTCTGGGGCAAAGGAGGCTGAGGGCAGACCTTACTGCTCTCTTTCAATATCTGAAAGGTGCTTGCAGCGAGTGCGGGGTTGGTCTCTTCTCACTGGTGACAGGTGAAAGGACGAGGGGAAATGGTATCAAGTAGCACCAGGGGAGGTTTGGGTTGGATATCAGGAAGAACTTCTTAACAGAAAGGGTTGTTAAGCACTGGAATGGGCTGCCCAGGGAGGTGTTTGAGTCACCATCCCCGGAAAAACACCTGGATGTGGTGCTCAGGAACATGATTTAGTGGTGGATTGTTAGAGTTAGGGTAGGATGGTCAGGTTGCGGTTGGACTCGAGGATCTTTCATGTCTTTTCCAACCTGAACAATTCTATGGTTCTGTGAGATTTAACACCACTGTTCTTGTGGGAACTGTGTTGAGACTTGCAGTGTCTGTGGCTTCCCCAGAATTACTTTCTGCAGGCAGATTCATAGGTGCTGGCACTTCTTTAAAGCCAAGTACACGTCTCTATCCAGTTTCCTCAGCAGCTCCTGCAGTGGCATCTCTGACAGCTTTTTCCTCCAAGGAAGAAGCAAGCAGTAGCCTGGCTGGTCTTAGTGGATGGGATGTGAGGAGAGCACAGCCTGAACTAGGACTTGAATAACGAGCTCAGCTAACCACTGGCACGTGTTCTGTAGTCCCCCAGGTCCTGCAGAGCTGCACTGGATTCACTGAGCAGCATGGCGTGGTGCAGGGGATGTAGAGAGAACACAGGGTGCTCAGTAGCCTTGCTGGGGCAGGAAGCTGTTACTAACGCAAAACTTGCTGAAACTAAGTTACTCTAACCATGCTTGAAGTGTTGCAGTGAATTGCCGCTCACTTTGGACTCTGAGGACTCAGCTCACATACATTTGCCCCATGGGCTCAGTTTAGCCACACAGTGGTGCTGTTCGTTCCTTTTTAGGCAGGCAGTCACAAGGTGTACAAAGCCATGTGATGTCTGTCCTTGGCTGTACTGCCTGCACCTGGAAAGATCGGGGTTTTCCAGATTTCTGGACACGTGCCTGAGAGAAATTGTGGTTCTCTTCTAAGCAGAGCTGTTGGACAGACCTGTCAGCACTAGAAGTTAAGCACGGCAGTGAGATGGGGCCAATGATGTGTAAAAGCAGGAGATGCTTTGGAATGCCTTTTATGTCTGCACAGTTCCTCAGGAAGCAGTTACACCTGCCAGCTCAGTAAGGGATGTCCCTTAGATGCTGTACTGTACAGCTGTGGAGCCTTTGCTCACCTGCACTGCATCTTTTAGATGCATAGCTGAGAGGAACTTAACCAGCAAGACTTCAGGGTTGAGCTCTAAGAATGGAAACACCCTCAACTGTTTGAAAGAGACCGAGTTTCTAAGGTCTTAGAGCTGGAGCTGGCAGAGCACACCCCTCTCGTGCTTTTCCCCCGACTAGTTTTTGGGAGACAGCATATGGATACCCCTACAAGAAGTCTTAGAGTGTTTCCTTCTGACGCTGTTATTATGGAAATAAGAATACGTTCCTGACTCCATTTTGCTTTCCATCTGTGTCGGGCAGTGGTATCAGGGCATAGCTCTTCAGATCTTTGTTTTCCTTCTGAGGATTTTGTACAGCTGACCTCACCTGCCTTTCATTCCTTGCCTTTTTCTGCTAAGGTGAAGAAGGCAGCCTTGGGTGGAAAATGATTTCTGAGAAAAACTTAGAAGCACAACATGCATAAGCTAGTTTTGCTTTTGCAAGCAGCTAATTTTCAGGTTACATCGGAGCTGAAAACTGCTTAAGAAGGAGTTTGAGCACACTTAATTAGCAGCTATTGCTGACTCCATATGGTGAGCGTCTTGCTTACTGCTTGAAGCCTACTTGCACCAAGCCATTGCCCCCTTGGACAGTGGAAGTTTGACACTCACCCCTGTGCATCTGCTCACTCCTAGGTGAATGGAAGTGGTTTTGAGGCAGGCCCAGTAGTGGTACACTGTGTGCTTCCTTCAGTGCCGAGCTCTCAGGAAGCATGAATCGCTGCAGTTCTGATGACAGCCTTCCACAAGGCACCAGTGATGGGATGAGGAGCTCCTCCACGCTCCTGCCCTCATTTCTCCTGGCTCTGCTAAAGATGCTGACCTGAGCCCACCAGTCATCACAGTCACCAGCCTGGATTGTGACGCAGTGTCATTGAGAGAATCCTTCTTTGTTTTTGGCTCAGAGCTTGCTTCCTGAGGTGTTTCTTGTGATAAGACTCTGGTGGATTTCTTGAGGAGGCAAGTGATGGGTGCTACCATTTGACAATCGACATCACTTTGTGGACGTTTGAAAGGCCCTTCCTTCAGAGCTGCTTGCCTCCGGAAGAGAGTGCCCAGGAGTGTTTAGTGGCAGAAGATCTGGCCTGTGACTAAATAGGTCCAGCTTGGTATGGGAAAAGTGGGGAATGATACATCGTGTCCTGTGAAAAACAGGATGCAGGTGGGCATCCCTGCTCCCTCTTATCTGCTGGCAAGGCCCGAAAGGTGGGAACAAAGGAGTTTTTGGTGAGATCCCAGAGCCAGAAGCTGCCACTCCAAGGAGAGCTGACTCGACCACTTTGGACTTGAGCTGTCACTCCAAAGACAGCTGACGCGACCACTTTGGACTTATAAAGAAGTTGGTACTACCATTCAAAAGGTGCCATCATCACTATGGTCACCATCGTCGTCGTCAGAACAATGCCCAACGACCCACCACTACTGAAGATCAGTGACTGAACTACGAACCACGCTGGATGTGTGGTGGTGACTATCTCCCTCTTGCTTCCTATGAAGACTCCTTGCTTCTTCTTTCCTATCTTTTCTGTCGCCCTCCTTCCCTTCCCCATTACCCTAATTCATAACAGTGTCCGTCCTCCCCTTCCCCATCTACCCGATTCAGATTTGTAATAAACTGGTCAGACCAACATTTGAACCGTTGTTTCTTAACCTCACGCCGGGTAAACAGCTATTAAAAGAACCTCCTCTCCCTCCTATAAATTGGAGCGAGACAGTCATCAGTCATCAGTCATCAGAGAGGAGATTTGAGGTGCCTAAAGAGGGGATCTGGGGTCTCCATGTTGGGTAATGATGGAGGGGAAGTGGGACTGAAGGAAGAGGGCTGGAGCAGATCCAAGTGAGGGGCAATTGGGTGTGGTAAGGGAGGGGGTAAAAGGAGAGCGAGCTGGAGACGTCATGGCCATGGAGGTGGAAGAAAGGGTGAAGGGTTTGGGAGGAAGTGGAAGGCGGAATTGGGAGAGAGCAGACGGAGGGTACTGGGGCTGCTTGGCAGCACGGGCAACTCCGTCCTTTAGGATTTTGGAGCAGGCAGCACAACACAGAGGGGATGGAGAGGCCCACAGGTGCAGGACGTGAGGTGCGGGGCATGGAGCTGGGGATCCCTCCCAGCTCTTAGCAGTGGCCTCTGCAAGGCAGGGACAGACACGAGCAGTCCTGCTGAGCGTGGGGACGAGGACACAGACACACAGAGCGTGGCTTTGCTGAAGGCTTTATTGGTCATTGGAGGATGTCAGAGATTATGATCAGAGAGGATGCCAAACGCTGCCTCTGAGCAGGAGAAGCCTTGTCCCTGCAGGGTTTGTGCCTCAGGATTTTGGGCAGGAGAAGGGCTGGCAGCAGCCCAGGGCGGGATGTGGGTCCCCTGGGGGCAGCAGCCACAGCCTCTGTCCCATCTGCACAGTGACCCTGGGCCATCTCTAGGACACCTCGAGAGCCTCCTCCTCTGCACAGCCCCACAAAGCAGGAGGGAAGGTCTGGGGGTGGCAATGGTCCCCTGGAGCGGGGCAGGGATGGTGCCCTCCATCCCATCCATCCCCAGGCCCTGAGGCCCAGTGCTCAGGGCTCCAGAGAGCCCCAGGGTCCCTCAGTGCCCCTCTTCCAGTGCCACCCTTCTATTGTAACAGACTTCTTCCGTGTGTCCAATCTAAAGACTCTGTCCCCGTCTGTCTTGCAGCCCCCCTTGGAATACTGAAGGCCGCTCTTAGGTCTGCCTGGAGCCTTCTCTTCTCCAGGCTGCCAAACTCGATGCGTATCAAGAAATGCTCCATAAAGACAAAACAGGGGTACTATAAAGAACAGAATGTCTTAAACCTCAACAAAATAGTTTAAAAATTCAGGTGGACTCTGTTACAGAAAGCAAATCTGACTGCATGAAACTCAAAACCATTTCCTGAGGGAGACTTTGTTAAGCAACGTATGGAAAACACAACAGGCATAATGTGTCCTGATTTAAAACAAACAAACAAAAAGCCGCGTGGACCTGATAGTGGTCAAGAGTGTCCCATAGGAAGCACAGGAAAGAACAGGAATGCACATCTGCGTGCTCTGGGCCGGTGCCGGCATCTCTGGTTGTGGCTTTAGGCCCCGGGGCTGATGTTGGCCTCTGAGGCTTTGGCTTTAGGTCCCAGGGCCAGTGCTGTTTCTGTGGCTGTGGCTGTTAAGCCCTGGGCCAGTGCTGTTTCTGTGGCTGTGGCTTCAGGCCTGGAGGCCAGTGCCAGCCTGTCTGCAGTTGTGTCCTGAAGCCCCAGGTGTGGTGCCGGCCTCTCGGGCTGTGGCTTTGGCTTTAGGCCCCGGGGATGCTGCCGGCCTCCATGGCAGTGGCTTTGGCTTTCGGCCCTTGGGCCGGTGCCAGCCTCGCTGTTTGGGCCTTTAGGAGCCGGGCCAGTGCTGGCCTCTCAGACTGTGGCTGTGGCTTGAAGTCCCTGGGCTGCTTCCCAGCTCTGGGGCTGTGGCTTTCGGCCCTTGGGCCGGTGGCAGCCTCACTGGCTGGGGCTTCGGGCCCTGGGCTTGGTGCTGGCCTCTCTGACTGTGGCTGTGGCTTTAAGTCCTTGGGCTGCTTCCAGCCTCTCGGGCTGTGGCTTTCGGCCCCACGGTCGGCACTGACTTGTCTGGCTGTCGATGTGGCTTTAGAGCCCAGAGCTGGCCTGCACGCCTCGCAGTGCCTTCCTGCTACCTTTGCACACTTCTCAGTGCCCACCTGCTGCCTTGGCTTGCCTCACCTTGCCTACCTGCTGCCTGGAACAGCTTGCCCAAGGAGGTTGTGGATGCCCCATCCCTGGAGGCATTCGAGGCCAGGCTGGATGTGGCTCTGGGCAGCCTGCTCTGCTGGTTGGCGACCCTGCACACAGCAGGGGCTTGAAACTACGTGATCACTGTGCTCCTTGTCAACCCAGGCCATTCTGTGATTCTGTGATTCTTTGCACACATTGCAGAAGGCCCCTGCCGCCTTGCCTTGCCGCATCTTCCTGCCGCCCTGGCACACCTTGCAACACCTACCTGATGCAGTGACATGCCCCACATTGCCTTCCTGCCACCTTTGCACGCCTCACCCTGCTTACCTGCCGCCTTGGCCATCCTCTCCGCACCTACCTGCTGCCTTGTGTGAGAGGCAGATTGTGCCTGGGACTGGGGTGTTCCAAGCAGAGTCGAACTGGCACAGGCTCGTGGCAAGGTAAAAGCGCAGGGTGGGGAGAGCCAGCCTAGCACAGGACAGAACCAATGTGCTGACTTTTGGAAGTGCTGTCCTCCTATCTTCACAGAAAAGGACAGAAGATAGCTCAAAACAACAGGTTGGTAACAGACCTCACATGGCAGCAACAGTGTCAGGAAGATTGTGAGCCTGAGACATTCCACCAATGAGTTCCAGGAGAGAGATTAGCTGTGTCAGAGCCAGGCTGTGGAACAGCGTGGATTTCACTGAGCAGGCACGCAATTCCTCCCTTGTCAGTAGGGGCTGTGTGCCCCTACTTGCCACAGTGAACAAAGTGCTGCTTCACAAAGATCTTGGCCTGACGAGAGATTTCTGGTTTTGAGCCGTGCTGCTGCGAAGACAGAAGGTGATAACTGCCAGCAGCAGTCTCCTACTCGTAACATCCTTGCTGCTTTGTTCTGGGTGCCGTTACTGAGCAGCATCTGATAGAAGTCCTTCCCTGCTCAGCTGGCTGCCTCAGTTTGAGCCCTGAATGGCAATGACGTGGTATGGCAGGCTTAGTTTTACTGTTTTCTCCTTGTCAGAATGCTCTGACTTTTGAAGGAAGCAGCTTCTTGGGTTCTTTGCTTGTTTCTTTTTCTTTTTTTTTAAAATTTTATTTAATTCATTAGGAACATCTCCATTCCATATAGATATAGATGTTCTGAATATTGTCATTTGTAGTGCTGAGGATTGTTTTAGAAAAGCTATACTCAGTTGAGAAGGCGTAATGAAGGTGTTAAAGAAAGAAGCCCCTGTTGTGTTGGCCAGGGATGAACATGAAATCATCTCCCAGTTGATGTACAGGCAGCTGATGTGACTGCCTCTGTCCTTAGCATCTCGCTGGAAGGAAGCCCACAAAGCATTTCGGCAGTGGGCTGCTGAGGGAAGCTGTCAGAACAGGAGCCCTGTGTCCTCTTGCAGAGCACTGGGATGCTTTTCCAGCTGACACCGACGGCTGCTTTGTTTGTGGCCCTGGCTCTGGAGGAGGGAAGCAGTGCTGAGAGTTGAAGCACGGTGATGTCACACCCCCTGCAGGATCCTGAGAAATCAGTGACCTAGGGCAGGTGCTGGAGAGGAGCTGCAGGCTGCTATCGTGGCAGCTGAGTGCTACTTGGAGCAGCGCAACAGACTGTACCTCTGCTGGCCTGGCAGGGGCTGCCCTGGTGGTGCCACGCGGCCGCTGGGCAGGTGGTCATTGTTGTTGGCATCATCTCCATCTGCCAGGCCCCTTGAGGAAAGCAGGACGTCCATCCGAGGGCATGCTGTGGCCGTGGACATCATGCTGGGCTCCATCAGCTGCAGCCAGGCGCCTGCGGAGAGAGGAACGTGCTGAGGGCACAGGAGAGCCCCTGCTCTCCTTCCTCAATGGCAAAGAGCCGCCCTCAGCTCTCAGCCAGCACTAAGAATGGGCTGCAGGAACGGCCATGCCAATTCAAACATCTCAGACCATCTTAGCCAACAACTAACCAGCCTCTCTACGCTGCTGCAACTACAAGGGCCTCCTGGCTCTCAGAAGCCCTACAGTAAAGACTTGGGCAGGATGGGAGTGGGGGGAACAACAACTCACTGGTTGCTCTGCCTCCATCGCCGGATAAGCAGACAGCACGCTATCATTGCTGCCAGCATGGAAACCACGAGAGCTGCAGTCAGTGCCAGGCAGTACTTCAGTAACACTTGGTCTTCTCTGCCATTTCCACGTCCCTCCCCTTCCGCACCTGCAGGAACAACGTGCTGTGTCTCGTGCCCTACTGGCAGTCTCACAAGAGCTCTGACATGGCCACAAAACGTTGTCTTGCATTCTGTTGGCCTCCAGGAAGACGTGACAATGCTCGGGCTGCAATGTTTCCCTGATTCCAGCGAAGCAAAGGGAACTCCCAAAGGCACTGCACAGCAAGGCACTCTGGAACCTCTTGTTGGCCTCTCAGCTTTGTTTACACTCTGGCTCTGCCACGGTCCAGACCTTCCCGGGCCATGGATTTGCCAACCTGGGTCATTCTGTTAATCGGAGATATGTGACATGGACAAGAACTGCCACAGGACGGATCCAGCTCCAGGATGCTGTTGTGCCTGGTGCCTCAAGGAAGGCGCCTCAAGCTCTGGAATACAGGGACTCTGGGCAGGAGGTACGTTGGTGGGTCCTATTTCCTCCCCTCATCTGCTGCTGAATGTTGTTCTGCTGGCGCAAAAGGGCAAAGTTCCTAAGGGGAACTGGGTGCAGTGGGAGGGGAGCAACCTCTCTAAGCACGGCCACGGAGCTCTGCGAGGGGCTTTACCTGCAGCACCAGCTGTTTGCGTGGCCTCTGTCGCTCCCGGCTGGACGGGCAGTGTGAGACGGCTGCCTTGCTGAAATGCACCCTGTGCACAGGCTCTCCATCTGCCTCTTTAGAAAGGAGGGAAGAGAGTGGGGCTGTAAGGAACTGCTTCTCATCAGGAAGACGGTATCTTCAAGAGGCACCAGTTCTCAAGGGAACCAGTCCGGTTTAGGAAGAAAGCCTGGGCTTTTTGCGCTGCACCTCATTCCTAGTCCCAACTGCGTGCCGTTCCGTGAGACAAACTGAAGGGCTGCACACTTTCCCTCTGTGAGCACAGACAGCAATCCCCATCCTGCTGGGAGACCAGCAGGTTGCAGGCAAGCTTCTCGTTCACGGGGCACCTGGTGTGATTCTGGCGAGTTGCAAGACGATGCTCAATTCCTCCCCTCAAAGAGAGCAGCCAAAAGCTGCAAGCCAGTTCAGACACAGGGCCATCACCGCAGCAGGGCTCTCATCTGTCCTTTCCTGCTGTGCACGCTACAGTTTCTCCACGTCTACTTCTAGAAACTCAGCTTCCCAAGTCCTTCAGGGAACAGACAGAAACACACTCACCCCGTGCTGCCTTCTTCAGGATTGCCCTTAGTAAACGGGACAGTCTCTTGGAATATTTTCCATCTTCCCATGCCACCTTCCATCCTCCAGGACCTTAACAGAAAGCATGAAGAGAAATCTCAGAGAAACAAAGCCTCGAACCGAGCGGTCTTTTCGGGGAAGTCAATAAAGACAACAGCCACCCTGGGATGCCTGCGGGGCTCCAGCACAGGAGGATTTGGCACAGCCTTCCCTGCAGGCAATTCTGCACCCAAAGCTCTCTGAGGAGAACTTCCCAGCACACACTGCAATCTACACAACTGCACAGCAGCCGTGCCTGGCTGACAGCAGGGCTGTGAGCTGGCATCTCTCAAAGGAAGCAAAAACTCACGGCATACCAATA